TTCATCATTGCACGCAACCTCTTCCGGCCGAAGCTTCCCTTCGGTCGGCCAGCCCCTTCACGTGCTGCCTGCTTTGCAGATGGTGGAGGCACTGGGAGGATCTCGGCCGGGGGTTGACAGTCCCGCGGCCGTTTTTCTTGAGGAGGTGTGACGTTGCTCTGGCGCCCCGCACCTTCTGTGGAGAGAACGGCGCTACCGCTAGAAGAAGACGGCCGCCACGCAGCAGCGCACTTTGCCTCGGCCAACCAGTCACGTGCCTTTTTGTTTGACTTTGGGTAGTCGATGCAGTTACTGCTGTACCAACCGCAGTTGTTGCTGGAANTGAGGAGGTGTGACGTTGCTCTGGCGCCCCGCACCTTCTGTGGAGAGAACGGCGCTACCGCTAGAAGAAGACGGCCGCCACGCAGCAGCGCACTTTGCCTCGGCCAACCAGTCACGTGCCTTTTTGTTTGACTTTGGGTAGTCGATGCAGTTACTGCTGTACCAACCGCAGTTGTTGCTGGAAGCATCCGCGAGGTCTGCTGTCAGCTGCAGACGATACATTTTCGGGCTCTTCACTTGACGCACACCGGTCAACGTAGAACCACGCCTAGTCAGGGCTTCCCTGATGGCCGCATGGGCCTCAGGGCGAAGCATGGAGGTCATGGGCGTGCAGTGCGTGCACCGCTAGCTTGTTTTGTTTCCAGCCGTTGGGGCTGATGTGGGCAATTTTTTGAAAAATCTTGTTTCTGATTTTTTGCGGCATGTTGTCAACAAGGTTCGGAAATGGAACCAACGCCATAAAATAGAATGCAACTTTTTTCGGTGGGTTCGCCGTAGTTGTCGAGATATGGAGGATTCAGTGGAGTAAAGTACCTTCGCTGGCGATGGTAATAGGTCCATAACTCTTGATCCAGAGCAAACCCACCGCCTTTGAACGGCTCATTCGAAAGCTACTGGCAAGAGCTTTCCAACGCACATCTGCATTTGTTTGTCACCCAATTCTTTTGACAACCCTTTCAGAAAAAATCACCCCGCCCCAAAAATGTGGGACAATCGGTTCCACTGTTCTCACATAAATTTATATATGCCTCAAATATGACCCACTTTTGTCCAAACTGTACTCACATTTGTCCACTTACGGACGGCGGAAATCGAGCGGAAATCGACCTCCACGTCACCCCACAGCAGAACATTGAATAGCCTCGTAACGTCTCAGAACCTCCCAACACCGTACGTATCCATGGCATCTTTCGCACTGCCGACTGCGGACCGACCGCGAAGGAACATGTCAGCCACATGCCACGCCCCTTCGGTACCGGCACGGAAGGGTACCAGGCACGGGACGATGCTCGCGGCAAGCCCGCCCGGCAAGCAGCGCACTAACGGCAAACGCCACAAATCAATGCGTGACACACAACGGACAACAAAACCAACGGGCGCGCATACAAAATATAAAGACGCGCATACAGCAAGAACATGCACACACAAAAACACCAACCACCACCACGACGAGTGCACACCGACTCGTGAGGGCAGCAGCAGCATGTCGATGCAGTTTGCCACGTAACAACATCATGTTAATAGAGGTAGGGTATTCACATGCACAATATTCATATTGTGTTGTTGTTGTTGTCGTCACATTAAAAACCGTTCCGATCTCTCTCTACCCAGTACCTTCGTATGCCCGTACTGATCCAAAACTCGACGCGGTCGATTCCCGTGGTCGCACGCTAACTTACCCTAAAAAGGTACACTCAAATAAGATGGGTCCGCAAGTCAATAAAAATCAACGACAGATAATTGTGGAAACCTGGATATAGGTATCTTCCTAACGGTACTGACGCACATACAACCAGTGAAGATCGGAGACCCTGCGAACACAGTTCTACAGGTCTGCCGATGTTTACAGANGATGGGTCCGCAAGTCAATAAAAATCAACGACAGATAATTGTGGAAACCTGGATATAGGTATCTTCCTAACGGTACTGACGCACATACAACCAGTGAAGATCGGAGACCCT